CCCCCCCCGTTTCGTTCGGAAACGCGTTTGGAAATCGGCGTTATCGCACGTAATGAGAGTGCGATCGTAAGATGGGAGTCGCCTCCCTTTCCGAATAATTACACCCGGCGAAGTCCCACAGGCGGCGCGCGGTCATTGCGTATGATTTAGCCTGCCCCACAGGTGGCGAGAGCCCGATTACAGGGGATATCACGCCAGCGGGGGAAGATACGTCGCGAGCCCCTTCGCGAGCCTCGAGCTTCTTATTAGTCGCATTAGTAATAGGCACCGCTCCGAAAAATTGATATCCCGACATTCGGAAGCTGGAGATGATTCCCCGAGGAATCATAATAACGAAATCCTACAGGATAGAGACGATATCCCGAAATGGAATTTCCCCGAAATGTACAGTTATGCCCAGGAGAAACTATCGCCCCGGAAACAGTACACACAGGTGTATTAATTTAATGTGTTAATTTAGGCACACCCTTCGTGTATCCAAACGAAAGGATATTTATTCCTCTGGCTGTACAATAATTACGATATTTCGGTAAAACGTATTTCGGGAGGTTGTCTTGGCGTTCGGGTTTCGGTATTATGACTTTTTAGGAAGTCATTCCCCCTTTACATCTCAGCACGTATTTCCTCTTGTACATATTTTAATCGTTTCTCCTCCCCCGGGGGTAAAATCGTTCCGGAAAATTACTTAAAATTATAAACACGTGAGAAATTATCCCGCATGACTGACTGTTTTATCTTTCATTCGCCACGTCAACGTTTTCGAGAAATCCCGGCTGTCCGGTCCGGCGACGGAATTAAATCGTAGCCTGTCAGTGGATGCCGTGTAACTTCGCGTAAAGTCACTTTGTTGCTGTCCGCCTTAGATACCGGATAATTCGCGCATGAAAGCGGTCTAGCTGAGGACGTAAATTGATATAGTTGGAAGCGATGGTCGTTAGGAATGTATATAATATTGGGTGCACCTTTGGCGCGCACACCCACGCGGCCACGAGGGACGCCTGAAACTGCCGGCTCCGCGGCAGAACTGCGGGAGAAGAAGAGGAGGCGTGAGTTTACGATAAGATACACACAGCCATACAACTCGGCTTCCCTCGGCTCCTCGCGCTAACGCACTCTAAACGAATTGGGACTTATTGTTGCACGTCGTCGCTCGCAGATCCCTCGTCGCGATGCGGCGCGTGCAAAAATCCGCACGGCAACCGGATTCGCGATCTCGAGTAACCCCNAAGATTGCCCGCGTCTATTTGGATGGTCCACAAATTTGGAAAAATCTATTTTGCCGATACCGACACCTGTTAACTTCTCTCTTGAACGTTTTTTTTTTATTTCTACGTGGAAACATTCTTTTATATAAGCGAGAATATATAATCTTGTATGAAATTTATTTATCTGAAGAAATTCCACATATAATTCCAGTAAGAATATTATATTCTTGCCATTCAAAAATAATTTTCCTGAAATGAGAGAAGAAAAGATTACATAGGAAGAACGATATCTGCAAATTAAGAATTGTATCGGTTTGAATATACCGTTATATCTCTTCTTTTTCAATTTATGAACGTTATTCTGGGAAATTCTCTCTTCGTGCAAGTTTTATCTTCGTGTAATATTTCTGTGTTCTTGTTTACGTACGAGAATATTAGTCTCGGATTGATTCTAATTTCGTTTCCGTGCATAGATTTAATTTTGAAACTGCATTTCGAAACAACCCATTTTGACACTGAAACAGCGAAAAGGTCAGTCTAAGGCACGGTCAAAAACAGGAATAAATCATAAGAATTGCGATTGAACCTGAAACGTGCTACCTTAATCGCGCTATCTTAGCCCCGACTGTGCTGTAGAATTCAAGATTTCAAGTCACACGCAGGGCCGAAATTTCCGCTCGGCCCGACGCGCGCTCAGATATACATAAATCAAATCAGTGGCATGAAAGAGCGTTAACTCTCTCGCGACCGGGAGAGAAATTGAAACAGAAACGGTCATGACCGTGACTGCGAAATAAGCGGACGAGTTTCGTCGCCTCGTACCCGGGAGAAATGTCGAGGATTACAACGTAAGACGCACTCGTTGAATCAAAACTAGCCCATGGAAGCCTGATTTATCACCGTGCCGCGCGAGCAGTGCACTTTCTCCCGGTCGCTCGCTCTTCGAGAGGCAGGCGACGGAAAATGTGGAAAACGCGATAAGAGCCACCTCGCGCTGTACCCTCGGGCTGTCATTAAAGAACATATCGGATATTAAGAGCTGAGAAGTCTTCTTCTCGAAACGACGTACGTGGTGCGCGCAGGATCACGTAGCGCGGCGGTCGCGGCCGCTTTCGCCGCGCACGTTGGTTCACGCGTGACGGACGTGCGAATTGTACGAACTATCGCATCGAATCGCCATTCGAACGCCTCGCACCTGAGAGACGATCGTTCGGATGAGATTTACACGCAGGCCTCTCCGCAGGCACGCACGAATGATCAACGCGCGCGCGTTAATTGCCCACGCGGTCGTTCTCCCGCGGCCGACGGTCTTTGTCGGGCTTTGCGACACTACTAGTGTGGCATCGATCGCCAATCGATTCGACACGACGCGTTCGCTACGTGGTGCCTCACAGAGGACGACACTCGAAACTCGGAGCAATGAGCGAGCACGAAACCGGGAAACGAGAGACGTTCCTCTTCACGCGCATACGCACCGAGAAGAAAAGAGATCGGATCGAAGCCAAAATCGGCGATCTTCATTCAGGGATCGAATGAGACAGTAAAAATGTTTGATCGGTTGTGAAATAACAGTAATTTGTGTACTTATATCTTTCTTATTCTGTTAGTTAGTGATAATTGTTATTATTAAATTAATTGCTATATATGATAATTATTGAACGTCATGAAGCGAAGTCTATTGAAACTTTTTATTCATGAAATTTTTAATAAATGGGAATTTTTCTCATTTTCTCGAAAGTGGAGAAGAATTACAAATAAACGGAAACTTTCATTCCACTTCGAAGTAGTGAAACGTTGTTCTAAACGATCAAGCAGGTTTTCCGTTAATATTACGCACATTCTTACGCCTGCGGCGAAACAGTGACATTTCTTTTACACCCTCACTTCTCGCTCTTCGGCTGCTTCGGCTCTTACAGACCCTTTATCATTCCTTTTTATTGGGAATTTCGTCGGCAATATATTTATAACTTTTATTTATAACTTTCTCATTCATAACTCTTTCTTCCGCGCCCGAGAAGCGATCCTAATTACGATCCTAATTTGTCTCCTCAACTATACCGGCCACTTGCCGGCCGACGATTTCGAAAGATCCGCACCCCTCCGGGGTGAAATCTCGCGGGCGCGCGAGGGCAGCTCCGAGCCGCTACGTTTAATTGCGCAATAAATCCTGATTCTCCGATTTGCAACCCATTTCCTACTGCGGGGGCGACGATCGGTCGCTGTTAAATTGGCGCGTAGGTGCGCGATGGTAGGTACCTACGTATCCGTGTAGGTACGCCGAGTGTGAAAGTCGGAAGAACCTCGACTCTCCCTTTCCCTCTTCGCGCGCGCGCGCGCGCTTACTCTTCTTATACTCCACCTCTCTCCTCGCGCAAAATGACTCGCGACCTTTCCTCAGTCGTGATCCGTTGACTTTATCGGCCCTCCTCCGGCAGCGAATTATCTACACGATCGATCGATCGATCGGCCGAGAATATAAATATCATCTTATATCGCGGATTATGCACACGTTGTTACGTTCAGCGCGCCATCTCATCTGACATCTCAATCTGGTGTTGCGGGGCGTATCGGCCGATTCGGTGGATAAGAAGTCAAGTTGCAAATGCCACCTTCCGCGAGCCGAACGCGCTCTCTAAAACGGCAGATTATCACTGAGGAACAGCGGTGATAAATGTAGTTGTAAATATGAAATCTTACTTTCACCGGCCGAAATCAACGAGGTGCAAGCACTATGGGAGCCCGGGTGGGAATGAAGCCTCGTGGGTGTTTCGCCACGAGGTAGTAAATTCGTGTCTAACGTCATTACCAGCCAGTAATGTAACGTTCACTCGTTTTAGTGTCCGGATAATGGCTATATAAATAAATTAACCGACGGATAAACAAAATAAATTACAGTTTGTACGAAATGAACAATCAGACCAGGCAATAATGCAACGCCTACCATTCTTCTACCTTTTAAGATCTTTAGAACATATCCTCGATTTTGATTTATCACCTCGTGATTTTAAGCGCTGGCGACGGATACACAGCAGCTAGATTATGTATCATGGAATAGACAGCCTATCTTATCATAATTGACATGTAATGACGAGACAACGGTTAGATCGTAAAAACGATTCGACATTTTAATGAATAATCAGCCGATAATAAACTAATAACATAATAATAATAATAATATAATGTGAACGATCTGACATCTGGATGCAATAAATATTATATAATACAGAAGTAACGCAAACGCTACGCTTGTTATATAACGTGTTACATTAAAGTTACACCGCTGTCGTTCTGTCATAACTCGCGAACAACGAAGTAACACGACAGTTTGAAAACACAGTCACATTGCGCATAGAAACTCGATAATGTTATCTCAGCATAAATAAGATGTAACAACCGTTACATTACGTGTCACTTCTACGTTATTAGTAGCAGTTATGTTTCTCATTTGCTGGATACTAGCTTTTGTCTCAGGCCGATCAGATACATTTCTACACGGGAGCTAAGCGATAGTGTTTTACATCGGAAATCAGTGAGTGCTCATCGATATCGATGAAATACGTATTATCGGTTCACTCGGCAATATTATCAGGCTGATTCGCTTTGAAAGGACTTTATATTTAATCTGAACGTTTAATCTCCCACCGTTCGATCCGTACGATTTCTATAGCGTCGCCTTTTCCGTTCCGTGATTGCAGCTTCGGTGGCACAAACGGTCACTCTCACGAGTTTCGCCTTCTTCCTGAGCTCGGAGCTGAATCCGGCTTCGGGAGCGCCGGCATCCAGTCTCCGACTAGCGGCCAATTCCTACAGCATGGAGCCCTGGTTGCAACCCTGCGGCACCCCGGTGGCGGCCACGCTCAAGAAGATGCCGCAGCGGCACAGCGTCCACAGGACGCTGAAAAGGGTGAAGACGCAGCTGCGTGTCGCGCAGAACCACTTCAGGAAGGATCTCAAGGACATGCATGTGGTTTATTCGAAGGTGAGACGAAACCCGAGCGAGACGAGTTGGAAAAGAGACCCGCGTAGAAAATCTCTCAGAGTTCTCCGAATAATTGTTTCACTTCGGAAATCTGCGCAACTTTCGGTTAGATGCGTGAAGGTGCTGTTACACGGTGAGCGTGTCGAACGTTTGCGCGCGCGGAAAATGATTGCGCGAGATTCTTTGATTGTATGAGATAGATTTGAAATTTCTCACTGAGAAAAATTTCCATCGGATGAAACGATCGGATGATATGTCCGATTGTTACTTTTATCGTCCGATCGAGCAATAGGATATCCGATGAAGTGTCCCGTGAAGTTAACGATGCAATTACTGATAAAATCTAATCGGAAAAATTAGTACATCCGTCGGGAATGCAACGCGTAATGTATAACGTAGACATTGCAAATAATACACACATATTAGTTGCGCCCGTTCATACGAAATTGCAATTGTAATTTTTATCGGATAAAGCATAACTCGCCCTGTGTTCCGACATTTACTGCTAGTACTGAAAAATTATAGTATACCTAACACGAACGACAGATTTTCAGTACCGGCAGTGTCGGAACATATCGGAACACAGCCTTGATCGGATGAAATGACGAAATGATCGGACATTGCACTTGGTCGGATATATCCGTCTGTTACGTTTCAATTGGATTATACGAGATTAGATATGATCTAATACTTTCTCAGAATCGTGACTAATAAATGATGAATAATGCGAATCGAGATAAAAATGGTTACGATATACGTGATTCCGATATACACTATTAGTACTGAAAATTTCTATTTCTTCTATTAACATAATAGATATTTTTATTATTATTAAATAAAATATATTCATTCAAAGACGTCACCATCGGCAGTGTATATTAGAACCAAGCAACCAAGCATCGAGAGATTCATTTTCACAAATTTCTTCGCCCGTCCCGTCATAAAACAGACGTCGCGCACCTCTGTTACCTCAATCGACGTATAAATCAAGCACAAATAAGAAAAAGAAGAGACAAATAATATCTCCGTGTGTGTAATACCGTTATACATATTTATCTTAATTTCCCTTCGATTTCGCTAAATTCACATTTATCACGTAGACAACTAAACAAAGTTACAAGAGAGTCCCTTTCTTTGATCAATAATGAACTCACAAGAGAGGCCTCTCTTAACATCGCCGGCGAGATCGTCCGGTGTTCCGCGGGCGAATAACCTCACCGTGAATTCCCAAATCGATGTCGCAGCGGGGATTAACCATTTCGGGGAGTAATTCAGGCCGTTCCGAGCGGAATCCATGCTGCGTATAGGGAGAGGAGATTTCAGCGCGGGTACGACGTAGATGTGAGATCGGCGCGACCGCGATTCCGCAATGAATCGCCGCGTCGCGGGGTAGAGCCGCCGCGTGGGCGGCCGCGCTCGAGGGGGACCCGCACGTGCGCGCGATGCAACAACACCGCTGGCAACACAGTCCTACTTTCCGCTGGCGATTTGCATCGGTTACAATGTGCCACGCACATCCAGCGCGCGATTACTTTTTCCACTCGAAGGGTACCGCTTCGGGAGGCCACCTCGCGGATTCGACGACGGATCGCTTCCCGCTCCGCTCGCTGCGCTGAAAACTCCTCGTCGTCGTCGTCGTGATGTTATTAAATAATACGCCCTCCCTCGCGCGGGAGAGGCGTACATAAGCGTTTACACGAGAGGCTTTACCTGTTTATAACGCCGGTGTAATGAGATGACAGATGTTATTGTTTGGTCTACTAAAGAGGACGAGAATGAGGGCGAGAGGGGGAGAGAGAGAGAGAGAGAAGGTGAGATCGAGTTCGCGCCGGCAGATCGCTCGGGCCGCTCGGATGGAGCGATATATTTTGTTTATCGGCTTTTATCACTTTGAAGCTTATCCCGGGCGTACGTACGGGCGCATTCCGCGGCAGATTTGTGATACTGTACGCTCGCCGATAACGCAACACAACGCGATAACAACGTGGCGACGTCGACCGGGCCGGGGGGAGGAGGGCTCCGGTATCCGCTCGCAGTGGGATTATTGCCGGCGGAATCGGGGGGATCGTACGCTCGGCGGCGCGCAAATGTCACGCGGCGCGGATAATCTACTAAATAATTCATAATATACCGGCCGTGTGTGTGTCGCGTGCGGTCTATCGAATTTATATGCGGACATTACGGCATCGTGAGATCGGCGAGTCGCGCGCGAATCGACGCGAGGAGAGCGCGATGGTAGGAGAGCCGCGACAGGCCGCATTCGCTGCTTCGCTCGTGCGGCGCGCATCCTTGAGCATTCGCGATGCAGCATAATTCCACGTAGGATCCGGCGAATTCGCAGAAATTGATTATACCGAGCGCGGCACTCTCGCGGCGCGACGTGTAATCACGGGTCCGCGCGCGCGAGAGACTAAACATTATCTCATCTTTCCGCCGCACAGGTGTACAAAGTGCTGAAGGAGCAGTACAAAATGAATTGGCTGCCGGAGAAGCAGCTCGAGTGGTATCACAAGGAGCTTTGGTGTCTGGAAAAGGGGAAGAAGGCTGAGCGCGCGCTGCCGCGCCTGCACGACGCCCTCCAGAGGTTCGCCATCACGTTCCACCATCTGCGGGACTATCATCTCAAGTCGAACATCAACGTCGATCTCACCATGGACAGACGGAACAAGATCGTCGAGGGCATGTACAACGAGATCCTGCGGGTGAGTCGGCGCGACAAATTATCGCAGGGAGCTTTCCGGATTGAGCACAACGTTGGCACCGCAAACGCTTTCCTACGACGCGACAAACGTCCACCGCAAGTCGGCGCAATTGTGCAGCAGAACACTCGTGTCAATATCGTAGCTGCTAATTTTTTAGTAACTTCTATTATTTATTCAATTTCTATATTTGTAGTGTCGAAAATATACGAAGAGTTGTTTTTTCTCTTTGTGATACTTCGCTACGATCCCCGACATTTTGAGTCTTTCTATACACACGATATTTATTAAAATCAAATACAAGCTCAGAAGGCGTATTAACGTTGTAATTAATAGTATCTGATATTCTTGCATGATTCATTTCATTTGGCAGACAGCAAATCTTTTCGGATGGCACCGATGAATAAAAATGATAATTGGCGATAAAATTATCAGTCCCTTCGTTTAAAGTAGTTTCGAATCGCCCTAGGAATAATCTCCAAGATTGAAGATATTCCGTGTTCAATCGCGTGACAAAATGCCTATCCGTGTTCCCCTCGCCGGAAAGCAGCCGAGCAGCCGAGCGACGTCGGCCGGGTTATTAATTGAAATTTGCATTTTCGCGTTCGCGGGATCGCTATCGTAAATCACCATTAACCGTTCGGCAAACACGACGCGTTAGATTTACGAACGCTTTATTATCCCGATCTCACACGGTCATCGATCAAGCGGTCGTAAAGCTCGCGAGCGGGCCCGTCGCTCGACCGAGCGGACCTACGCGAGGCCGCGGGCGAAAGTGCGCACGAATCGCCGAGAGTGACACCTCGTCTTTTCTACACACGATTGCAGATGCTGTGCGAGGTCGAGACCGCCATTCTAAATCTGGGCCTGCAGCTTCCCACCACCCACGCCGCGCACATCGTGACGGAGAGCTTGAATTGGGCCAAGGAGGGCGATCTGACGCTGATGCTGATTCAGGACTGGGGCGTGCTGAGACTCTACCAGAACTTCCTCAAGGATTGGACGGCGGCGTTCCGCAACGCCACCGCGACCGGGCCCGGCACCTGCGATCCCAACACGGTCAAGCCGCTCAACTTCAAGAAGAACGCGAAGAAGAGAGCCGGCGAGAAGAGCGGCAAGCGAACGACGAAGCAGAAGAAACAGAGACCGACGAGGAAGCACCCACTCGCGCCTGGCCGAAACAGTTCCTTGCCGCAGCGGCCGAGGAAGGGCCCCCCGCGAGACAGACTGACGAGGAACAAGCAGAAGAAGCCCGCGTTAATGTACTCGAACTGAGGAGAGAACCCGCGTTCTTCATCGACACCGAGAGATCTGCCAATTCGTATCTCTGTACAGCGTCGACTCGTACTTTCTAACTCGTAAAAACCCTCGTATTTATTCCATTATCGCGATACGCCCCCTCCCCCCCTATATCATTCGTGTCTGGATACACTTGATCGTTCAGTAGACTCGCAGGCTCGCGCCAAGACAATCGCGCCTGATGCTGTGTTGTTGTTGTTAAGATTAAAGAGAAACGGCGGGAGTACTTCCGATGCTGGCCGCGGCGAATAATTACTTGGCCCGACCGAGGGTCTTCCCACGACAGTCGGGTCGGCCCGACTGCGGCACAATAGAAATACGGACAATAAACTAGAGAACAGTATTAAGAGATCTACTTCTGAACAGTATTATATCGAGTAACATACATAGTGTGCTGAGCACTGCGGTCAACACGTTGACCGATGCGTCACGAGGGTGTCCGGCGCGATCGACTCGGTCGAAGTGGAGTCCCTCAAGTAAGAGTCTGATATCCCCCGATTTTCTTCTTGTTGAAAATGGCTCTCCGATCAAATTTTTGATAAGAAATTTGATCGATAATCTTTGAAGGATAACCCTTTGGATTTTAGCCGGGTCTGTCGATACACGGATAAAAAAGTTTGTGTTACGACCGGTTCGGCCAAATTTTTGTGTTATTTTAACAAGGTGTTATTTTAAAATTGCTCAATATTAAAATTGAAAGTACATTAAATATATGTGTTTGTTATGAATATATTTTTGATAAAAAATTTGGTAAAGAAATTTCTGAAAAAAATCTTTCGGGTCTTTATTGGGTTTGTCATTGGAAAACAATTTTGTGTTACAATTAAATTTAAATTGAAAAATATGGAAATATTAAAAAAATATCTTGAATATATATATATTTATTATAAATATATTTTTGATAAAAAAATTTGATTAAAAATCTTTGAAAAAAATGTTTCGGGTGTTTATCAGTTTATCACTATACAGAACAAAAATTGTTACATTACGAACGGTCCAGCTGAATTTTTATGTTTTTTTTAATAAGGTGAATATGTTAAAAATGCTAAAATATAATATTAAATATATTAAAAAATAATATGTTAGAAAGTTGAAATTAAACTAAAAAATATTAAAATAAAAATATATTAAATATATACATTTATTAAAAATATATATTTAATATACAACCCACGTTAAAGTAACACAAACATTTACGTGGGTAACAAAATTTTTTACTGTAAAGAATATCACTATTTATATGAAGGGTATCTGCAATATATCGAGTTCAGGTACATCTTTCTAAGAATATATTTATGTGTGATTTATCCTATTAGATATAATGTTTATATAAAGTAGATTTTTGATATTTATATAAAGTAGATTTTTTACATTTATATAAATAGGTTTCTTTAACTTCTTAACAATCATTTTCCCATTATTTTATCCTGTCTTGGAATAATATTTAGTCATAAATAAAGTCCCTTTATTTGGCAGTTCCGCCATTGTTTATCAAATGATGAACTAGACCAACCAATAAGAAGCCGAAGATGCTCAAACTCTTACTTGAGAGACTCCAGATCGGAGTGTCACCCTGATGAAACACCGATCGGACTCGAATCGCAGCCGTCGGTCGTATCGTGCGCGCGTGCGCTAAGGAAACGTTAAAAAGTTCGTTTTTATTCTCAGACGCGATATTTAACACGACACGCGCCTATCGGAGGATGACGGAGGGTGGGAAAGAGGAACGTCGAAACAAAGGGAGGAAAAGAAAGAGAAGGACAGAAATAATAAGAGAGACGCACGGAGAAAAATAATTCAAGGAGACGGCAAATTTTTTATGCTGTCGTAGCGAATAAACAAACACACGGAATGTTTCTCAGGTACCTTTCAATACTTCAAGAGTTGATTTTTCAGGTCATTTTTATGAGAAAAAGTTCACATACACATTGTTCATTTCTTCATAAAACGACCTCGAAAATCAACTTCCAAAGTATTAGACGGCACTCAAGAAACACCCCACGTATTTATTTAAAATTCTAAATTTTATAGTGTCATTGAACCTGAGAATTTCTTTGAATTGCGTACGTATTTGATACAATAAAATTTGAATTATTTTTTTCCATATAGCGGAAAAGGGCAAGAGACATTGAGATAGAGAGAAAGAGAGAGAGAGAACCAAACTTGCAGACGCATTCTCGCGCGTCTGATCGGCCCGTCTTGCGCACGATACTTCATTACTTAATATGCCAACGTAGATTACGCTCACGATCGAACGAAAATAGCGGCTTGTTGCACGGACGCGAGGACTCGATCGAATCGCAGGCACGTCGACGGCACGCGCGGCCACAGGCCTGACAGGATCAGCGAGACGAGATCACGACGAGTTTCGGGCGGTTCGTGAAAACTTATTTATTCTAGCTTTAAACCCTCTTCTCTCTGAGAGCGGGCGGCGAGAGAGCTTAAGTGTTGTTTAGCTGTGATATCCCGAGCGTACGCGGACGTACAGAGTTCCTACGTTTATAGATAGGCGCATACGCACATGCACGGAAAAAAAAAATAAACACACACACACACACACACACATACACGACATATAAACACACGCACACGCAACAAGCATACGTATACTAATATATAGACAGGTATCGTGCGTTGACGCATACCGTACGCGCGCATTAGAAGACGCAGACGTGATTCTCTCCTCTTTTCTCGTGTGTTTACCGTAGAATCTCGCTTTGTCGCGCGACAACATGACAATTTTACCTTTCGTTATTGCGTTAGCCCGTTGTTAGAACCGCGCTCCTCCGTCCGTAGACGCGAGAGAGAGCTTGTTTTCGTACGGAGTACGAAACCGGAGGATTCCGGTTTTCGCGGTTCCCGCTGTCTCACCTTAGGTGAAAAGCGCGCGCGCGCGCGCCGTAGTGATTGTCGATCGTGAAGCACGAGGGACCATTGCAAATCCCTCTACGTCGAGAATCGTTTCCGTATCGTTCCGACAAGAGGGCGAAATCAATTCGTGCAAGTCTCAATTTTTACCTGCGCGCCCGCACGTCACGTGGACGTCCTTCTTACACGATAGGCTAAAAAAAAATATATATATATATGTATATGTATTTATATATCGTTTAGAGAGAGAGAGAGAGAGAGAGAGAGAGAGATTTCCGATCTTTTTTTCTTCTCCGTAATACCGACGGTACTTATTCCGGCGCGTCCGACATCATTGTAACGCATTTCCCACGCATATTTTTGTATCATCACGCATTGTATGCGCACGCGTGCCCCGTGATTCGGATTCGCTTGACGCCGAGACGCGCACATTCTTTAGGTTTAAAGACACTACGCATTCTATTCAATTACACGTAGGCATATTTATTCCGACGTACATGCATACTTACGCAGCGCTCTGTTCTATTTATTGTATCACGTTACCATTGCATGTATTATTTATTTCTCATTCCCTTATGATATGTGTAATCGTCTCGAATAAAATGCAATGTTTTGTATCGAACTGAATGTTAGTGGAGTACATGGACGTGGAGCGGAGAGAGAGAGAGAGAGAGAGAGAGAGAGACCTTTTCTTACCTCGCGACAATCCACGCGTCAGGATCGTTCGATGACACGCTCCGGTGATATCGCGAGTCGCGCATCACGAATGTGCAAAAGTGCACCTTCGATCGGAAACAACAGGAGTACATGAGGAGCACGCATTTTTCGCGACGCTCGATCATCATCTGTAACGCGTGACGGGAAAACGATACTCCGTTCGATGGAAGTGGATGAAAACATGCCATCGGGAACATGAAAAATACGTAAATACGGCGGGACGATCGATGTTCGAGAAGCTGGCTTGAACGATCGTAAAAATAAAATGCACATCGTGGTCGGTCTGTCGTTGAGTATTTACGGGCTGTTTATGCACACGCCGTAAAATATAAGTGTGGCCATCTTGGGAAAGAATTTTTCACACATATAACATAGGGACATATTTTATATATAATTATATATGTGCATGAAATTTTTTTTCAAGGCGGTCACAAGAAAGTTGCAGCACTTTCTTCGGTAAGTTTCGGAACACATCCTGTGTCCGGGGGGATAATTTGTTTTTCAGTAATTGTCGGGAGATATATTTTCCTGTATTGGATACGAGAGACGCGTTGCGAAACTCATAAAGAAAAAGTGTCGCAACCTTTTGCGACTGGCCGTGCAATCTTGCCTTGCCGTTTTCGTGTCACGCTAATAATCATTGATCCTAACACGTGTATCTAAATATGACGGACATGACTTAGATAAATATGTATCTATTTAATCTTATTTAAATACGTGCTTCGAGATATTTTGTGTTAAAGGTATCGGAAACGCATGGCTTTGCAACGCATTTTGCAACAACCGCAAGCGACGTCGCGTTTTTCAAGCTGTCCTACTCGCGGAAAACTTCGCTCGCTCGCACGTGTGCGCGCACGCGACACTTTCGTCCCTGTTTTACCGCGAGTGAAAGTGATCAGGTTAGCATCATAGCTTGTTGCCCGTAGGAAGATTTTCCAGATGTGGCAAATGTAGTAATAGGAGTGCACGAAGAGCGGACAGGTTGTAATTTCCCCTCGCTGCACTTTGCGCTTGCGGAGCTTGAATGTATTCGCTGTAACTACTCGACTCTGTCCGGTTATACCGCATTAATAAATCATTTGTTATGTGAAATAAATGAATCGCTGAAATATATCGCCTGAGCGACACAGTTTCACCGCTTAAACCAGTATGCGCGAGCGACTGGTTGCGACCAGTTACGAATGTTTAATCTACGATGTAGCCGCGAATCGCGTGATCGTTTGATTGATCAATGATATTGATAGACCGTGTAAAGGACGATGAATAAAATAGGCCGATTTTGGCCCCGGAGTGGTAAGTAAAAAACGTCTGTTTTTTGTAGTTTTGTAGTTTTGTAGTTTTTAATGAAGCCGAACAATCCTGTCTGTTAAATCAAATATTCGTTTGTTGGCTCCATTTTAAGAGACAAATTTGTTTCAATCGTAGAAATTTTATTTTCAGACCGAATAAGACCTTCATTTATCGATTTGTGCCGTTCACATATCAATTTTCACTTAATATCGTTTATTTTATTATAGTTGTACACTCTTTCATTAACACACCGTTCTCATAACAGCTTCTTGTACATTTAATAGCTTCATGTTGATTTTAATACTTTTTGATACTAAAATTTTTTTTTAAGTCAGAATTAAATTAAGTTGAAACATTACAAAGAGACATGCTGTTTTTATTTCTCTCACTCTGAGAGCCGATTAATTACACTATTTTTTTTAATTTTCCGCCGTTGCGCACGACACTTTGTACATTTGTTATACGTCCCGGTACACGTTCAGAGAGATCAAGACGCTTTATCGAGTCGATAAACGCCACTGAATGAATCGCATCGCGCTTCATTCAGCCGCATCGAAGTTACTTCAGCGTATTTTGATGAAATCACCAAAGCCATTGCGTACGATGCGCTTCTGCGTTTGCACGCTATTTGTTTTCCTACGGTCGCGATACACATCGCACACACACTCACCAGCAGCGAAATGGCAGGACGTCACGGCGCGTCGTCGCGTTCGTTCTCAATCGGTCGTGAGAAAATCGCTAATCTTAGTTCGGTGAATTCGCGAACGACCTAATTATAGTGGCGTTTTTTACGACCTTTGTATCCGTATGCGCGGTCGTGCCGTCGTGCGTACGTTCACTTCATTCAGAAGTTTTTGCCACCAGTCCCGGTTCCGCGTTTCGGCGAAAAAGAACTGACCTCCTGACGTCAAGATTCCTCTCGTGGATCATCCGGCCGGTTACAGGACAGGCTCGGATTTCTCACGTGCGACATCGGAAAATTACTATTTCTATTATGCGACAAATTGATCTCGCGTCTGTTTTTGAGCAAAGTTCACTTTTCAAACGGTCTATTTCTTTAATGTCCACACACCGATATACATTTCGTTACATATCCAGTCTCCATTATACGACAAATCGTTACGCTCGTAAATGACACGACGACTCGTCGTCCGCGGAATTACAAATTTACGACGAATTTCTCAGTTCCTTTTGCAGACGAAAGAAAATATATAACGCGCGACGATGAAATATGTGGGACGAGAAGGTGCGTTCTGTGACGGATGCGAAATTTCCATTTCCGCAATATTAGAAGGTCAACGCGAAACTTTTCACGGCTCCGCATCCCGAGATATTCAACACAGCGAAACGATGAGAGGAACCGCAATGTTTCCTGATGTAAATATTTCTTCAGCTAATATAAACCCCCTTCTCTTTTAAACGCCGAGTCTGGTGAAACGAATCCCGCCGGATCCGAACGATAGTGAATCCGTCACTCCGAGTACGCTGGGGATAAAAATAATCGTTCGTTAAGCGTAACGCGCGACGTCGGTGCCGAAAGTCGCGCGGCGATTCGCGCCCGTGACGACGATACCGGCTTTCCCACTTGATTCACAATGCACATACAACGGAGCTCGCGGCTGAACGTCACCGGAATCCGTGAGATTTCTGACGGGACCGTGCGTACTTTCGAGCGTACGTACGGACGCCGTAAATGCGTGACGCGACAGGTACGTCTGTTTCGGGGAAAATCGGAACGTCCATACTACATGTGGGCGAGATCCGCGGAAGGCATAACCATTAGGGATCGCTATCTAAGTGAACACGTCACTTAGATATATTTGGATAGCCATTTCTCTGTGATAGAATGTCTATGATTAATACGATTCCCCGATAAACTGATAAAAATTGTATATATAAAATAATACGCTTTCTCTCGCATTTCTTCCTTTCTCTCTCTCTCTCTCTCTCTCTCTCTCTCAGGCGAAGCCGAAGCGTCGACGAACGCATAAAGTGCATCAGAAATTAACAATCGCGCGATGAATTAATTAACCGTCAATTTGAAACAGAGTCGAACTATGCCGAGAGCAGCAGCGACCTGTTGCTACCCGCGTTGCAAGGCGTTACATCGGCGTGTCACGGTCTGAAAAGAAAAGGAAAAAAAGCGTCCGCGTTCCAAGGATGGGGACTCTCGGTGGTACTCGGGGTTCCACCGGCGGGAGCGTAAAAAAGCGCGCGGTTCACCCCACCGCCGACGACGTCCCTCTCCGCACGAGACGTCGAACATGCGTGCGTACGTTCGATTGTTTACACAATCCCATATATAAGGAGGAAGCACGCGAGTTCGATAATCTCAGTTCACGGTCTCACGCCGATCGGGATCGTATCTTAGCCGAGTGTGCCCGCGACTCGTCGAAGAAGACGCCCAAGACGTGCCCAGTCGCGTAACGAACGAGCCGTTAACGAATACTCCGAACGAAACTCCGCGAGAATCCGCGAACATGTTCCTCGAGCGTGTCTGCCTGATCTCCACGGCGGTCCTCGTGGCCGTCTACGCGGCACCGAGGGTGTCCAGGTTGCAGGAAGTGCCGAAGTGGCATTTCCCGTGCGGCGGGGACCTCGACGTCGAGGTGGCCTCGTGGGAGGACCTCGAGGAGGAGACGGTGAACAGCCTGGAGAGTCTCAGGCTGCAGCATCAGCTGCTGATGAGCGAGTACTTGAGTCGGGACTACAATTATCTGTACGAGAGTATGGACTTCAGCGTGAAGAAGAAACAGTATATACCCAACTGGCTGCCCGACGAGAAGGACGTCGATCTCGTGAAGGGGCTGGCCGACGCTAATCCACAAACGGTAAGCGCCAATTGACGGTACTGTTCGCCTCTCGCGCGGTCCGACTGAATTTACTTGATATTGGGAAACTTGTGCGCGTTCTGCTTGAAGAGAGAAACGGAATTCCCGCTTCCTACGGCTAGAGTTTCATTCATTCTCTCACCTGACCGGGAAAAACGGCTTTCCCGCGGTCAAACTGTTCCTCCTCGGCGTGACTTGAGCCGTGTAGTCGCGCTCGTCGACCTGAGAGTTCACCGAAGGCGGGCTATTCACGGGACCGTCGCCGAGAAGCCGATACGCGACGCGAATCGCGATTACTATGAAGAGACGCAGCAATGATCCTCCTCGCACGGAAAACAAATTCGTTGAATTAACGTGACGACGAACGAATTAAGTTTCGATCGAAGGGATTATCTGGATGTCCGCGAGCCAGATTCGGTCCTCAGAACGAGAAGCTCCTCCAGCCAAAACGCACTCGGTTCGTCCGACGTCGCGCCGGGGAAACTTATCGTTACTTTTGGCCTCAACTATACCTATCTCATGGTTTTAATTACGAAATGTACAGTAGTATCAATATACATTTAAGATTATTATTATCATCACTGGCACACACTATAATGACACTTTTTAGATAAACCGCTTCTCCCGAACCGCGATTCTTTCACTGTGACGATCGTAGTTACAAACATCGGAATATTTCCCCTCGGCGTCACGTTAATTCCGCCGATCCGCTTCCCCTCCGTGCGGGGGATCGTATCTCGTCATCCGGACGGATGGATTCTTCGTGAAAGACTCTTCGATTCTTCCGACATCCTTAGATCTGACGCGACACTGCGCGGAATTATTGGCACTTATCATCGCCGCTCGTCCGGCGAGTTCCCCCGTCGGCGTCGCACCGCGTGCGCGCGGCACGCACGGTTTTCCGGCGACGTTCGCAACGTCTACATTCACGGGCCGTTAGTTTCTTCTCGATCATTAATATTCATCGCTCGTAGTCGTCGTTACCGTGCAGCAGAAACGAAAGAGCAACCTGTGCGAGGGGTCCACCGCGCTCAGGTGAGAGACAGAGAGAGAGAGCGAGAGCGCGGCGCGGCGAACGGGGAGAGTTAGACAGGTAGAGAAAGAGAGAGAGAGAGAGAGAGAGAGAAAGAGCGCGAGCGAGAGAGGGAGGAAAGAGAGCGGTGCAGCGGCGTTGCAGGCCGGCCGCCGCGCGTTTTCAGCGATCGGCCGGCCTGCTGACCACCCGGTTGCAATTGATTAACGCAACGTTAAATAACAAATTTTAATGAGACGGTAATTATTATAAAGTAGCAGGCGAGCAGGAGCGAGCGCGGTCATTCGTACAGTGCGCGCGCAACGCGCGCGGCGGTACGCGTCCACTCATGTTCGCCGGGTCGCGCGGCTGCGTAATCGCGCTCGTCTGCCTCCTCGATGCGAACGCGCTGATAACGCGGCCTGATATCGCCGCGACCCGCGCGGATGCCGTCGCGTTCGACCACGTACAGCCTCCCCCTTCTATCCCCTCTCTCTCTCTCTCTCTCTCTCTCTTTCTCTCTGCCACGCCCCGATCGTCCGGACTGCATTGATCCACCGTGTTGCACTTGGCTGCACGTTCTCGAAAGATAGGATTTTACGAGGTACTTCCCGGCATCTCCCCGCGGGCGGCCGCTGATAAGGCGAAAATCGGAAATCTTATCGGCGAAATTTGTCCGTGTCTTATCCCATCGCATTGTCTATCTCTCGATAATGTCGCCGGATTTGCAAATTGCACACGATCATCTATCGCCGGCGAGGACGTTTCTTTTTTTTTTTTTTAAACAACGAGCGCGATAATTGCGCGACAAAGGGACTCGCGAAGATCGCCGAGAGGAGGATGAAAGGATTGGATTCAGCGAACGTTTCGGTTCGCTACGCGACGATCTCTCGCCGGACTCCCCTCCCGTTCGATTCGTTAGACCGCGCTGAAAGTATTGTCGAACGCCCGTCGAGCGTTTGCGTGCCGGTCCGATAGAATAATTTCTGACGAGGACGATGTTTACAGTAGACATTAACGGTCTCGTTAGAGGCGGAGACGTGCGGGGGAAAGTCTGACCGGCGTAATCGCTTGACTTATCCTCGGGATTTGTGTTGGTGTCGCGCGGAAAAGAATTCGCACGCCGGGAGGAATTATAGTTATCTTCGGTCTCAACTAAATCTCCCGCTCGTGGTTGAATTGAATTATCCGTCAAAATGACATTAGACAAATAGATAAATAGATAAATGCGTTACAACTCAGCGGGACGACTTCTCGCCTCCGATATTTCGCGAGATCGTCCCGTTCTCTTCGGTCTTCAGGTCATCGCGACTTTTCGTAGAACGTTGCCCCGCTTCTCAAGTCCCGGGATTACACATGTCCGTCCGTCTTAATTGACCGTACCGTCGAACATAGGCTAACGTCGCGGTGTAACGGCTGATTGCAGATCGTCAACCACTTTCCGAAGTTGCACACGGACCTGCAGAAGTTCGCCGTGGCGTTCGAGCAGCTGGTGAAGGACGAGGACGACGTGAGGAAGTGGGAAGCCCTGGCGGGCACGCAGAGGTACCTGAACAGCATGCTGTGCGAGGTCGAGAGCAACATTCTCTCCCTGCCGTCTCTGCGGCTGCCTACGCGCGTGCAGAGGGACATCATGAGCAAAAACGAGCGAAATGTCGGACGAGACGAGACGAACCGGCTGGTCCGCGATTGGGGAGTGATTCTCAAGTACCGCGACTACCTGCATGCCTGGCGGCACGTATTCAACTATTAGGCGAGCCAAGCGGCAAAAGTATTAGACTGTGTCGTCAGCGGGTCATCGATCATTCTCACTCGGCGAGATGACACAAACGAGGCGACATCGGGAGCCCCCGTATGCGACCGATGTAAATTGATTTAGCACCTGCCGCGCGCGCGCGGGCCGTAAAAGCGCGTCGCTATCCGCACGTGCGTGCGTGCGTGCGGTAAACGTTGAAGTCATTGACAATAACTCGCCGATCACGTAGCCTAGCCGGTGACTATTGCGAAATCGCGGACCCGCGAAATCGTCACGCACTCCCCCCGCCGGGAGTTTCCTATGTATAAGTCTATTTATTCGATTATTTATTGCGCCGTCGTGCGAATTAGCGCGTAGTTATTTATTCTCACGCAGGAGCCGCGTGATTATTTATTGAGTATTTTACTTAATTTATTATTTATTCAGACAAGTCTACCGTACCTCCACGCAGCCGTACCTTCCGACAGGTGTCGTATTACGAGTTCTCGCAACCGTCAAAGTCTTCGGGATTCTCGGATGCGTTTTGTGATAATCAGTCACACGGTGCGACAAGTCCGCTTGTCATGCTCCCACGTGACCAGTGATTACTCGTGTAGCGCTAGATTATTGATGAAAGACATCATTCGCAAAGGAAAACGAAAAGAGAGATGTATTTATTGCGCAGTATTATATATTATATGTATTTATGACTCGAGCACAGAGAGAGAATGTGTTATGTATATTTATATATTGTACACACGCCTAGTAACTTATAACTAGTGATTTTATACGAAATTTCACGCAATAAAAGCTGAAGTGACTTTTTGAAGATACGTCCGCATTTCCTTACGCGCCTCTTCGATACCGGCTTAGCCTCGTGGAAACTGCGTTACATCGGTGCGAGGAAAACGTAACAGATGTCTCTAACGTTGAAGTTCACGTTACATAATCGCTTCGTTGAAAAAAAAAGCACAGAGTTAATTTTTATGCAAATATTATATATCAGTGAAGAAATATTCCAAAAAGCGCTGAGCCACGTCGAAATATGCAAACGTTCAAATCGATAAAACTGAAGAACAGCGTAGCACGGAACACACTTTGGACTTTGCACAGTTGCGCCGTAACGCGTCGAGGATGTCCTTAAATCTTGTGCAGTTTTCGGAACAAATTCTGTGGTAATCTACGGAAATGCCATTTTTCTTATAATTTTGGACAGTCTACTTTCTCATACACGGGAGAAATCGGAAAATAAGCCGAAACTCATGATGTCCACACGCGTTCTCTACGGCAGGTATCTAGTTGCCAACCAAAGATAATCTACCGGTGGAAGATAACGTACCGATGTCGCCGGCAAACTTGTCTCTCCGTCGGCTTCTACCGCATATAAAATCCCGATTTAATTATTTGAATCTATACAAAATATTCAAAAAATATCACTTCTCTTCGGATATAATAATTTCACATTTCTCGTGACCCTTTCAAACAAATGAGAAGTGTAACGACAATCAAGTACAAACCTGCCTTCTATAAATCGTAACGATAGGAAAGACAATTTTTGCGAACGCCGCTCGTCATCCATCATAACAAGCGAAACGCGGAACGGTGCGCTTCAATTTCCAACGGGATGTATTCCGGCGAGAGAACGTGCGCGCTGGGTCGGAGGTCAAGTCACCGCGAGATCGCTCGCTCGCACGGGCAAGTGTGCGGCGTTACGAACGTAGGTGGCGGTGAGGCCATATGAGGATGCCGAAGAAACCGAAACGAATGCGAAAAGATTTGAATTTGACGGAAGAGAAGAAAACGAACATTACGTAGGCGCTCTCACTGCCGGTAATGCGCGCGCGCGCGCGCATGCTCGGCACTTTCCACACGAGTGTTCCAGAAGTATTTCCTTACACATCTTGGTCATCCGTATCCCGTCCTGAGTATATTACGAACCATCGGTACGCACGAGAAAGAGAGAGAGAGAGAGATTTTACTCGTTAAATCCACGGGATCAGTTATGACGGACAATAATCCTACGAAATATCGCGGAACGTCTGACGTAACGACGCAATGCAAATGCATTTGTTACCGGGAAGAGGGGATATTCCGGTTTTCCGAAGCGACATAAATTATTCTCATAAAAAGGAGAAAGAGAGGAGGGAAAAGACACAAGAGAGTGAGAAATGTATTCCGGGCGATAAGGAAGGGAAATTCAGAAGCGACCACGGAATTTTACCGTCGACGTTATTAGTTTCAATTAGACGAGTTGAGCTTTAATTAGGATAACCTTGTGAAAATATCCAGCTGTCTACCTACTCAGCCGTTTGAGAACCGCGATTAAAGTTTCCCACGTCCGTGTACATCTAAATTATAATGTTTCCCAAGAACGAATGATACGGAGGTTTCTCCTCCGCGCCGACCATGTTGTTATCGGAATTAGAATCCGTAACTTTCATCCTTGTGACTTCAAGGCGTGATGCGAATGAGCCTGACAGAAAGAGAAAGAGAGAGAGAGAGAGGGAGAGGCCTGTGAGAGGGCTGCCGTTTGATTAATCCGTTATTAATTATTCTTTAAGGAAACACGCGCTATCTCTTCCGGACATATGAGAAAGTATGCAGAATTATTCGATCACGTTGTCGACACTGTCGATACTATTTCTTCCTCACGCACGGCCCCCGTTCGCTTCCCGCCGCTTTCGAAAATACACGGCGGAAGCGGCGGCGAAGAATCCCGTTGGATAATCGGACCGGCCAATAATTCAAGATCGCGATTTAACGCGCCAATTTACATGCCGAAACGGAACTAGTATCTCTAATAACTCTGCGAGCGCACACTCGGTCGGAACCTGTACGGGGAGTTATCTTCTACCTGTCACAGCCAGTTATTAATGAGGTTCTCCAAAAGTAACGGCCGTTGACTCGCGACGTGTGAATTACGTTACTTTCTCCGCACCGGCCGAATTTTCGGATCACGAGATACATCTGCCACGTGAATCCGACGAGTCAGTACCCTGTTGATCCGAGAATCGATTTTACGAGCGACGGCTTTTTTTTTCTACGAGCAGTCAGCATCCAAATTGTCAGCACGAATGAATTACTCGAATGATTTATAGATAGAGGTGTTTGAATAAAATGAAAAAAAAACTTTTCAATTCTTTAGTCGATCGCAGATCGAAGAAAGTATTAGAATCAAATAAACATAATTATCCGTTTCTCAGTAATTTCTCTTAAATCAAGGTTCTCTCAAACCAAGTAATATTTTTATTAATTTAAATATATTTTAGTAGTACTTTGCAGTAAATACTTATTTAAAAGCGGTAATACTTAATTTGTAAACGAATTAATGATGTTAAAATGCTTCTAAATTTAAAAGAGTATTTATTGGAATTATGCAATACTCCTTTTCCATTAAAAATACCCACCGGTCATCAATTTCGATGTTTCTGTCTGCAGTAAATATTTTCTAAAAATAAATTCTGATATACCTCAATATTATAAATTTAATACTTTTCGGAATTGTTTTAACACGTACAAGTAAGTGTCTACATTATTTATATTATTTGCAAAAGAGTATTGGAGTAATCATTTTATTTGAATTAAGTCAATATTACTTGAATGGTAACACATTTTTTTGCAGCATGGAAGTCACTGGTACGACTTAACTTTGACAAAATAATTAAAAAACATTATATACTATTATATACTATATTTTTTTATATACTATATCGTACTATAATCATAAATGTGAAAGTTAATAATATCACAGTCGGCAGGGACAATCGTGATAACCGCGCGACTTTCGCCGCGCTATTTCCCTCCCGTAAAATCACAAATTATATTAAATTTTTCTCAGTGGATTCTCGGTAAGAAACTCTATTTCACTTCTTCATTGCGACACGTTACCCACACTAGACCTAGTTAAGCCGAACCTACTTGAACGAGAAAAGAAATTGTTAGCAATCTTGTAACATACGGAGGCTGTACACGCCGCTCAATTTACCGGTTTGGATTACGCGTATTGAAACAGAAAAGAAGGAGACGGAGAGCGAAAGAGTGGGAGAGAGAGAGACGTTGATCCGGGTGTAGTTAAATTAAAAGGTGGTGGGGAAAACTTCGAACAGAGAGGAGCCTCGATTCTCCAGGATCACGAAGTCCGTGCCCGATCATACCAGATGCGAAGTCGTAGTCGCTGGCATTCAAATGCCAGCTCTTTGTTTGCCAGTTTCCACGCCGAGAATTGCACTCCCGCAGATGGTTGCCGCACATCCACAAGAGCGTTTTCTTCCGTGTACTACGTACACCGACAGTATAGACTATACAGATCGCAATAATTAGACGGCGGCAGGATGCTCACGAATAGTGTCACGAGTCAGCCGGATCGGCTGGCAGCCGATAGTTGTTGTCCGTCGCCGTCGTTGTGATTTATCGGTAGCCGCCGTGAGAAGAACCGAAAGACAAAGACGTGGCGGATTCTCGCGTATTTTGAATATATTTTAATTCTTTAATTCTTAGTTTTTATCACTTATCATTCACGGTCATTAGTTTTCTATATCTATATATATATTTTTTTTAATTTATCGAGTAAACAATTGCAACATATTTATCAGTTAGATACAAGAAGTCGCGTACGAAAGAGATATGGTACTCTGAAGCCCTCCAATGCGTTCTTTTACTATATTTTAATTCTTACAATTCTTTTATTACTCATCATATGATCATTAGTTCCCTACGTCGGCGATATATTTTGTAAAAATTTATCGAGCAAATGATCGCGACATATTTATCAGTTGGGTGCAGGAAGTTCATATTTGTCATTAAGTAATGAAAACGAGATTGGAAGTTTGAGAGATCGATAGATAGATAAATTTAATTCTTTAATTAAAACCTCTTTAGGTGCATGAGTGTACAATTTTGCATGTATGTCGCTCAAAACTATACCAATAAATTTACATTCCGCAACTCACGATCTAATAACAGTTTGTGCAAGGAATGCTGGAAATGAGGCAGTGTGGAGTGTTTCAGTAATTTCATGC